TAAATATTATCTTTCTTAAAAAAATCCACATACATTATTAAAAACGTGTTATTAATATTTTTTTTTTAAATTAAATTTCTAAATTAGTTTGGTAGCATATTAATAGTTTATTTGGATATTTCTATAATCAATTATGACCTCCAAATTAATGGTAAAAAAAATTTAAAAAATAAAAACAAACAATTATTTATTACTTTGACTTTCACCTTAATTAGTTTTGTAATTAACTTTAATAGAATTGAAAACTAATTCAAAAACATATTTTAATAATCGATGGTAATCGAATCAAACGAGGAAAGAAATGTGATTAGACCGATTAAATGTTAATCACTTAATAATTTTTTTAAAAAAAATGTTATTGGTATTTAGCTTAACAAAGTGGACCATTTACATTAACAAATAAGATTTTACAGTCACACATTATATTATTATTTTTATAATACTGAAATGATTTCACATGAATAAAAATTATTTTATACATCTACACCAAAAACAAATTATGTCTCGTGTTCTAATAATTTTTTTTTTCCCATAAAATATGTTACCACTTTGTCATTACTTATTAAAATCTAACTAACTTAAATTACTTAATCGTTATTCGTGACCTGGCCATCAAAGGTCTTCTAATTTTATAGTTCAATTATTATTATTTTTTTTCATGTGAACTTCCACCTATGAGTTTTGTTTGGCCATTGAATATTGAAACAGGTATTAACAAGGACAATAATAATATATACATGATAAGGTTTTTTTTTCTTTCTCTTATATATAACATAACTAACAGAAGCTCACAATTACCCAAGCTTGGGATATATACACCCATGAAACATTGAAACCTTACCTAAAAACAGAGGAATAAAAGAGGAGTTGACCAAAAACAAAAAATAAATTTGATCAAACTGATGGACACCAAAGATACTACTATATTATGTTAATTAGTCAAATTATGAATAAGACAGTCACATTCTATTCTTGACACAACACAAGTGGTCCTTGATCTCCTTAACAAGGATGTGGTAGTGATCCCTTGTGAGCTTTCAACAATTAATTAAGAGTTCGATCGAAATAGTTATGAGTTTTTTTTCTAAAATAAAATGTGTATGACTAAAGTATATATAATTGAATTAGTTTTTAACCCAATTTTAAAATATTTATACTAACCAAATTTTTAACAAAAAATTAATAATTTTAATTTTTAATTGTAATTAATATTTCAAAAGATCGACAACAACTATCACTATCGATACTATTATTTATCATGTGTCATTAGTATTACTTTTTTGGTATACATTATCATTATTAGTGGGGAGAAATGCAAATGGATACTTTCATTTATGTATTTTATTTAAATAAAAAAGTAAAAAGAAGATATGTGAATAGTAGATGAGTATAAAATAATCATTCATTAGAAATTGTGTATAAAGTGAAATAAAAAAGGTTCCTAAAAATAGCAAGAAAATAAATAAGGATATTTAAAAGTAAAATTGTCTTAATAAAGTGAAGATTAAAAGTGGTTGAGAATAAAAAGTATCTTATTTATATATTTTTATAGAGTATAAAATACTACTACCATGTTTTCACTATTAAGTTTATTATCAGAATAATTATTGTCTTGTGGTTGATGTCACTACTACTATGATCACTATTATAACAATGAATAATATTATGAGTTAATCACCTATACACTGCTAGTGTAAAGTTTTTTTATACTGATAATTAATCATATATTTTAGTAGTGACATGTCAACTGCTTATTTAATGAAATAATAATAAAATAAGCAACTTTAAAAGATATGATTGATTGCTAGTGTAAAAAACTTTACACTGACAATGTATAGATGATTAACTCTAATATCGTAATCACCGTAATGAACATTCTAATCTTCACATTTGTATTTGGTATTAAACTCACTCAAATAATCAACCTATTTGATTATACAAAATTTAAATAATTTAGGTGAGATCTTAAATCACAATTTTAATATTATTGTTGCATGTCATGTATTAATTTTTATTATTGTGTCATCGTTCTTATTTAAACCATTACACCAACAAACGAGTTTGAATAAAAGTATAAATTGATTTGAATTTAAGACTTGACATTAAAATTGAAAACTACAAAATTCATCCAAAATATATATTTTTGATTTTGATGATTTTTTTTATATTTTAATTTTGATGACTTGTTTTAATAAAAATGCAATTAATATTATTTTATTATAAAATCAATAAGTTAAATCATTTTAAGTAAATGGTCAATTTTTATTTAGATATTAGACAATATGAATCACCATAAAATGTTACTAATAAAATTCATTAAGAGCTGGAATTCACAAGTGGCATACCTACACGGTGGCTAGGGTGTGCAATGCATCCCTCAATTTGAAAAAACCACTTATAAATATTTGTTTTTTTTATAAATATTTTATCCCCTTAATTTTACGATTTGAACTCACATTTTTTTTTACTTATTACAAATAAATATCTTAAATTCTTATATTTATCCTTCTTTATTTAATATATTTGAATTTATTATAACTAATTTAGTTTAGCTGATGAGCCAAACCAAACCCATAATTTTTAGGGTTAAAAGTTGAAATCGACTACACTTATTTTACTTGGTATTAAATTTTTTCATTTGTAAAATTTAAATACAAATAAAAAATAAGTCAATGTTGTATGATTTTATAGAATAGATATGTAGGCTATGTTTACAAGGAATGCAAATTGGATGAAATCGACCCACATTACATGTATTTTTCCAATTTAGTTTGGTTCGAGAAGAAACGAGTTTGATTTTTGTGTTATACAAACCATAAAAATCTTGATAAATAATATTTTTGTCTATATATTGCACAAGAATTATATATATAATTAAAAATCTATAATAATTAAATAGTTTTACATACAAAATGTATTTTAGATTTATAATTAGCCATTAAAAATGTGATTAATTTTTTAAAACTAGAACTAATAAACATTTAAGAAGATAAAAAATAGTCATTGCCATCGAGAAATATACAATTTTTTTATTAGTTGGAAAGTAGCATGTGAACTAAAAAGAATAAACGGTGTTAATTAAGAATGTCTAATTGAGGATAGATGAAATGAAAGTCTCATTTTTCAAATTATATACTTTAATTTATAGCATGAAAATAAAATTGAAAAAGTAAATCATATACATATTTTATTTTTTAATATATAGTAGTAACAAATATTTTTAAATTAAAATTTTATGTATATAATTTCGATTCCATCGTTAGTAGTATATACGCATGTATTTCATATAATTTATATAAAAACACTTTTATCATGATATGTTCCATTTATTACGCGTCTAACTATAATGATACAAAGAGAAGAATACCGACATGAAGGAACAAACCCACAGAAGAAAACTACCCTTAACTTGAGAATGCACTAAAACAAAATAATAAAACAGCAATGATGAAGGGAGAAGTTGACCATAAAAACACTTCATGCATACACCATCATTCATTCTTTTAGCTTTTCCAAAACAATCGAAGCTGCAAACCAAACCAAACCTCGATTAAAAAGAACATCACCACATGCTCCTTTACCCTTTTTTGGTTCTTCTCTCCTTCTCACCATGCACCAAAATAACCCCTTCATTATAAAGAGAGAGACACACCCACAAAAGAAGAAGCTAGAAGAAGAGAAAAGTGCTTAATTGATTCATAGGCAGTGTTTGTGTGTGTGTGTGTTACATTGCATACATGACTCACTCCCTCCATCCATTATTTCCTCATCCACTCACTCTCCCTTTGCATCCCAAAAAGGACAATAAATTATTGCTTGGGTCGTACCATTGATCGTTAGTTTTGGCTAATTCTAGAGTTACACCTAGCTCATCTCTATTAATTCTGTTTATATATCATAAAAAATTAATGGTAAATTGTGTTAAAGTCAATTATAATTTTCCTCAAATTTATAAGTCGATTATGATTATGTTAAACTCTAATCTAACTTTTTTGAGATAAGCATTAAATATAAATACCTTTTTATTGAAGAATTAAATCTTAATTTATGGCAAACAGCACATCGGCTTTTTTCACATATAAATTAACGCTACAAGTTGTAGCTTCCGGGGTTTTCACATTTGTAATGTGAATTTTGAGTTACAAAACGTGTTTATGAACACATGGTAATGTAGCTTTCTGGGTTTTCACATGGTTGCATGATGGAAAACCAAAAATATAGTAGAAAAAAAGATAATTAATTGTTTTTATTTGAGTCATTACTTCAAACATATTGTATCCTTTTTCACTAAATTCAACCTTCTTTAGTGTTATGACTCCTTTAAAGGCTTAAAATATATTTTAAATCAAGTCAATTACTTTTAAGAAATTCTCACATAAATAGAATTCAAATTTTTTTGTTTACTATAATTATAAAATGTACCATTTTTAAAATCCTATCTCTTTAACAATTATTTTTAGAAATAACTTGATCAGTCTCGAAAAGAAATAATTTTACGAGTTTTGTTCTTATTTTTGATGATAAAAAGTTGATTCAAACATATATGATAAAATTCAATTTACACATCAACTAGAGATTAGACAATTGAATAGTATATAAGTCGAAAACAACTCTCATTTTACAAGCTGATTTTGTAAGGTTGAGTTAGGTTCAAATTCACAATTTTAAAATAATATTAGAGCTACCTAGATCCACTCACTCATCATTGATACATGTGCCATAGGTACGAGGAAGTGTATTGAGAAAAAATAACTCAAGAAATGTTGAACGTGAGGGAGACATTGACCAGAGATCAGGTAAAAAATAATCTTCTTCTTATAAATCAATTTTATAGAGTTGAGTTAGATTCAAATCCACCAACAAGATTTGAATAAATATTTATAAAGGGGGAGAAGATGATAATCATGTAAATAATTTATTAAAAAAAGAAAAGAGAATGAGGTAGACAGAAAAGAGAAAGAGAGTGAGAGAGTACAATAATAGACATGGACATATAGGCATAGAGTCCCACAGACAATCACCCTTAAAAATTTGGTCTCTTTTTCCTTCATTTCGTTGATTTCCCTTTTCTTCACTCAAAAGAGCAGCAGCGCAGAAAGGGACAAGATCCCGGAAAGGCGTGCCACCGTCAGACTCATCCCTTTTCATGCCTTCCAACGCCCTCTCCGATTGAACCAAAAAGCTTCAACCTTTCTTTCCTCTCTGCGCTTCCCTCAACATGTACCCGAGGTTGATACACCCCCACGATGCGATTGTGCCGCAGGAAGACATGCACGCTGCTGCTTCGAACCTCTCTCACGCTCACAAGGGAGACCCTTGTCTCGTTCTCACCGCTGATCCAAAGCCTCGCCTTCGATGGACTCAGGACCTCCATGAACGCTTCGTTGATGCCGTCACCCAGCTTGGGGGTGCCAGCAGTCAGTGTCTTTCTTTCTTAATCTTGTTCAAGTTGGAGTTTTTTTTTTTTTAATGGGGTGTGCTCAATTTTGTTTATGGGTGTAATAATTGGAGTTCTTTGTCTCGAGTAATTGGTCTTGCTTAGTGGATTTTTTTGTAGCAATGTAGGTGGAGGAGGCTTTCGTGACCAGATTAGCGGTTACCGTGTGTTTGTTTGACTGATGAATGGAAAATTTTAACTTGGGACTATTTTGTTTGAATGGGCTTGTCAGTCAGTGGGTTCTGAGTTTGACCACTGAGTGTTGAATTTGTTGGAGAGTGTTTTGTGTGTTTAGAGTTTAGAGGGTTCATGGGTTGATTTTGGGCCCCTTGTTTGTTCATGTGCTGAATTTTCTTGTCATTGACTTGAGAGTATGAAAACATTGGAAGGGGGGTTGACTTGAAAACTTGAAATTCATCATGCGGGAGTGGTAGCGGATCTGCCTGCACTTTTAGATGCTCAATTGAATTGAATGATACAAAAGGAGGGCAAGAGCAGGATGCTTGCTGAAAGAAACAGAGCTAGTGATGATTATGTGCAACCATTGTGGCGTAAATGATGGTTGAAATATAATTGCTTGATACTTGTTCGATATGTTATAGAGATTGGCTATTTTCCCTTTTAACTTGATTTTAGGTAGTTGAAACTCATTGAGTTTCTGACACCATAAAGTATAGTTAGGAACCATTTTGCTGTACAGGTATATATACTATATAAACAGTATTAGTGCAATGAAGTTGGTATATTGATGGGCATGTATGGTGCCAAACACAGCTTTGAAGCTGTTTCGGTGCTTAGATCTAGCACTTTGTGTTTATAACCTTAGCTTCATTTGTCAAACTATTTAGCTGCCACCGTTTAGTTTTGTAGCTTTTTGAATGGGATAAAACATTACGATATTCTTTTCTTTTGGTTTGGGGTTATCATTGTGTATTCCTGCCTCAATGTTATATGATGGAACCATATTGTAAGATCAAATTAATATTCTTTTTAAAAGATGAACTACCCAGCAAAAGTTTGGATATTTGAACAAAGTTGAACTGTCATGTAGGTACTTAATTAATGAGTGAAATAAAAGACATTTGTCTGTTAATACTTGTCAACCTTGGGTTTGATTTTGGAGATTGATTTTAAGAGAATGTTATGTAGAGAATAGCATGTAATTATAAAATACTTGATTTTAAAGTTTTGGGTTTGTTTCACTATTGTAAAGTATAATACTCACTTTTGAAATAATTGAAGGGTTATCGTTTGAAACCAAGGTATTACTCCTTAAAATTGATAATATAGTATTAAACGTAGAGATTTTTTACAGGGTTGTCAACTGCTGCTGTAACATACACAGTGGCATAGCAGAGCTGATGGCTCTTTGCTGCTCCTGAATACTTTTTGGTGGAGTGTTACACTGTTGTGTCTCACAGAGCTGCAATTTTTGGGGTGTTGGCAACCACGTGCCATGTTCCACCTAGTAACCAACCACCATTAAGTACTTCTATTATTTTAGGGTGACGGCCATGGATGTTGTCAATAATGAGATCATGTTTCCTAAACACGGTGAAAATCATGCAGATCCAACATGATTTTGCTAAAACTTGTCAAACAAATTAGCATGGTTCCCAGTTCACATTATATGGCACAGATGTGATTCTAGAATGGTGAAAATTTAAAATAAACATTCTTGCCAACTGCTATTTAGAAAACAAAACAAGAAAAGGCAAGATGTTAATTTTTCTCACTTCCTGGTAGATTATCTTATTATCTATACCATTATATAAAGGAGATACTTCTCTAACTAACTGTTTTTGATCTCTACTTTTTGTTAGATCATTACACCCCTCAATTGCTACTTTCAAAAAGAAAAATTTGAAAATGAAGACTTTCTTAGTAACTACCATCCTCATTCACACTACAATCAAAATGAAACAACCGCTCGCGCATTTTGAATAACCATCCAATCAATTATCTCCTTTTTTTTTTTTAATTTTTAAAAATTTTAAGAGGTGCGAAGTGTCTCTTTCCACCTAGTTATTATATAAGAGAGACCAAATATATATGATTAATTTCCTGATTTGAATGAGAAGATAGGTTGAGAATTTTTATAATGTCTGATGCATTCATACTCAGTAAGTGCTGTTTAATGCTATAAGATTCTTACTAGTTTCTATTCTAATTTTGATCGTAAATATACTAAATTGTTTAACCAAGTGGTAACTGCAAATGCATTTGCAATTAGGGGTGACAATTTGGGCTTGTGATTCATGATGTTGGATTCAAAACTAGGTTGGTCATGTTGTATTCGGAGTAAAATGAGTTTGTGTAATGTCAAATTCAGGTTTTCCTTTGTAATTACTTAGCAGGATAAGTGGGTTCAACTTGTATCTAGAATTGGTATCCTTATTATGTCATGCAAGATTAGGAATGAATACATTAGGGAGAAAGTTGGGGTGAACATTAACTCTAGAAAATGGTAGAATCTTGTCTTTGGTGATTTGGACATGTGTGGAGAAAAATCAGATGCATTCATTCCTATTCTGTATCCCTAGAGGTAGAGAGAGACTAAGCAAAACTATAGCCAGATCATTCAGAAGAATTAAGAGGTCAATGGTTTGACGATAGACATGATTCACCATAAAACATGGCATCCATTTAGTTGACCCCACTTGATGAGAAAGGCTTGGTTATTGTTTTTATGCCATGTAGGGTTTAAAAGGGTGGCGTGTGACATGTTGGCTTGTTTGTTAGTGATTGTTCTCTTCTGTTGATAATTATAACGAAGCAAGATATTTTTCCATGGATTCATAAGTTGTCCAAGTTGAAAGTATTTTGGCTCTGTATTTATCCTTTGATGTCTGCAGAGGTTTACGCATGATATTGGCTTGACTTGTTTTCAAAGAAGTTATTAAAGCATACTTTCCACTTCCTTTCTTGAAATCTTCATGTGTAGATTATCATCAAAATCATTTTCTGACTAGGTTCTGGATGTTATCTGCAGAAGCTACACCTAAAGCAATCATGCGGACCATGAATGTCAAGGGTTTGACATTATTTCATTTGAAGAGTCATCTTCAGGTCTCTTAAATTTCTTTTGATAATATTCTGCCTATTTTAAGCTATATGACAAAAATGAAACCTATCTTTCTGCATTGCAGAAATACAGACTTGGTAAGCAATCTGGGAAAGACGTGGGTGAAGGATGCAAAGATGGTATGGCTGTCATTCCCCTCTCTGGACTCATTATGTTCTCATCATCTGATTTTGCTCTGTTCAATGTGTTCTGTGGTGTATTCCTCTTTTCCCTTTCCCCAGAGAAAGGGTCCACCTGGAATTTAATCTTTATGAAGAATGAAACAATGCCAAAATCATATATTACCAACTTAGATTATATTGTCAATACAGACTGCTGAGGAACTGTCCATGCAGAATTACTATAGGGGACCGAATTGTTGATGGACATATTTGCAAATAGGGAGCAAATTAGCCTAATTTTGGAAATTTGGATAACCAAGTTAATTTATGGTTAACATATTAACTACTCTTGGAATTTGAACATTGATTATCGATTCACCACAATTAACTTGCTAAATTGTAAAAAATTTTGCTAGTACTTCAGTAATTTCAATTAAGCTTTTTACATTATAGTATTGGCTTCAACTGACTTCTTTTATGGAAGGAATATCAGGTTCATATCTTTTAGAAAGCCCTGGCACTGATAACTCTTCTCCGAAGTTGCCGACTTCTGATACAAATGAGTAAGAGTTTTCATTAATTCATAAAAGATGCTCTTTTTTCTGGCAGATGTTTCTATGGATTTGAATTACCAAATTGAGGGAGTGATTGGTTGTATGGCTAGGGGTTATGAAATCAAGGAGGCTTTGAGAGCACAGATGGAAGTGCAGAGTAAATTACATTTGCAAGTGGAGGTAAATTTCATTTTCCTAGTGCAAGTTATGTATCCAATGTGGCTCAACAAACTTTTTGCCACGTTGGTAATTTAGAGGTAGGATACATTCGAATATCGAGTGTAATTGAAGCAAGTTTTTAAAAAAAACATCATCAATCTGCAGGCAGAGAAGCACTTACAGATTCGCCAGGATGCAGAGAGGAGGTACATGGCCATGCTTGAAAGAGCTTGCAAGATGCTTGCTGATCAATTTATTGGCGCTACCGTTATAGACACAGACAGCCAAAAATTTCAAGGAATTGGAAGCAAAGCACCTAGAGGTACTTTGGTTGATCCTCTTGGCTTTTACTCCTTGCCATCTGCTGAGGTGGCCGGGGTGAATGTACCGGAAGAAGAAATACCACCTACTATCCCACCCCAAAGGGCTGATTGTTCAACTGAAAGTTGCTTAACCTCACATGAGAGTTCTGGAGGATTGGCTTTAGAAGGATCTCCAGGTGGGGGGAAAAGGAGGATGCTTGGCATGGACTCTATGGCAGCACCTTTGATCTGGAGTGAAGCTAAGATGAGAACTCAAGCCATCAATGTAGTAGCCCAAGGTAATCATCCTCAAGGAATAACTAGGTATGGCATGTAGGGATGGAAGGTCTACTTGATGGTTCATCCCCTCATTATATACCTTTTGGGCTTCATTCATTCCTTTTTTTTTTATAGGTACTTGAACTCTTCATGTCTTGTAAGTTAGTGAGACATAGGTGGAATCAATTTTACCCATTTGTAAATTCAAACTAGTATGTGGCTTTAAACATTGCAAAAAACTAGCTTTGACTATACAGAATTTGTGTGTTTTGGTAACTTATATGGATCCCTTATTGCTCATTGCATCATGCTGAATAAAGAGTGTGACATGACATCCTTTCCTTAAATATAGGGTGAGTTTGTCACACTAAAAAAAGTGATTCTGATGTAAATCAATCTGGTGATTATGTTTTAGAGATTTAAAAAGAAAAACAGAAGCCAATTTATGTTTGTTTACAATCATAAAAATTGATTTGTTTTAAAAGAAGCAGCTGATCTTATAAGAAGCTTTTCGAAATAGTATATGATTTTAATCAGTTTTTATTTTCTTTTCAACTTCTGTTGTTTTGAAAAGCTAAACATACACAAGAAAAACTTTAAGAAAAAAAAAGAAGAGAAGATTATTTTCTAATAAGTTATTATTTTACACTGAAGCTGTAACAAACAAGTCCATAAGTATTGGAATGATTTCCAGTAAACTCTTGAAACTCTTTCAGCAGCGTTGAACTTGCAAAAGCAATGTTGTAGAATCCTGACCAGTTACTCTTCTTTCAACAATTATTTTAGACCATGAATATTTGGGTCATTAGAGACGGGGAGATCCAATGAATAATAAGAAAAATTCTAACTGGTTTGACTTTTAAATCCATGCCTCGCCAAACAAAAAATATTTGTTTCACCAAATCATGTGTTTAGGTGCGAATATGGGTGCAACCGTCCATGTTCTTGTTTCTAAGTAGTGGTTTTTGCCTTCCTATGTGACAGTTTACTGTATTTGTAGATCATTTGTCATTGGTTGTATCATGCAAGTGGCTGGTGGAATATGACATGCTCAAATTCTGTTGTTTCTTGAAAAAAATAATAATAATTGATTGTCTCATAGTTAGTGATGCTAACTGCTGTGTGCAACATCGTTTCTATGGAATGATCTTGAATACATGGCCGGCCATAAAGGAATTCTTCAAAGGGACCACTTTAGAACCAATAATATTATTGGATAAATTCTAATTAATCTGTATTAAATTGGATAAATTCACCTTAAAAAAAATAAAGTATTTTTTATTGATTAATATTTATTGAGGAACCTGATTAACTATTTCCAAAGTTTATCTTTCAAGCATATTTTTTTCTCATATTTTAATATAAAATTTAACTTAAAGAATTTAAGTTCAATTTCATTAGTATTAATACAATTTAACATTTTAATTATATCATTAGGATCGACCTACTAATAACAGTACATATTCTATTATTGTCTCTGTGATTTTTATAGATTAAAAAAGTTTAACATCTCAACTTATTTTTTAATACACAACATATTAATTTAAGACTTTATGCTTTTATCACCTGGACTAAAATGCATTATTGGTATATTAAATGATTAATACTATGTGTATGAGAATATAAAATTGTTATGAAGAAATGATATACTCATTAGTGAGACACGTGGAGGGTTATCATTGATTTGGGTTTACATTAGCCGAATGGGAAATCAGGTATAGCTTGATGGTTGATATCATCAATTGGCTGCGACCTTCTCAACGACTCCACCACCTCCATCGATCGGACTATAGTATATAAACAAGACACTTTTATATTAGTTCATTAACTAAATTCTAAAAAAATAAAATAAAAATCAAAGTGTTATGTTATAAAAAAAAAAAAAAATTACCAAAACTAAAACTAATCTAATTCTTTGTATATACTGACATATCCAGATATCCGAATCCTTTATTTGGTTTATATACATATATATACTCTGAGATTCTCTCTTATTTTAAGAATGATTTATTTATTTTTCACCTAAGAGAAAATACATACTTTTTTTTGGGTACATTGTGAATTATAAAACAAGAAGAAAAAAATTATTTGAACGATCATTACGAAGTCAACCATTTAAGTTTAAAGTAGTATCGAGAGGAAATTAAGAATATAAAGTTGGTCCCAATAATCATTTATAAATAAGAAAAAGAATTATTTACTCTTGGTAAGATGATTAAATAATGCCATAAAAAGTGTGTAATTATGTCACATGGGCACCACAATGTACTTAGAATATGAAGTTTAATTTTAAGAATACAATATGCATTATTAAGTACAGTACATTACAATCAAGAATCAAGGTAGGACATAATTATAATAATTGCTGGATTTCAACTTGTGAAAGTCAGCCTAGTAATGAAAGAATGTGAACTCTTTTTTTTTTTTTTTTTTTTTTTTTAATAATAACCCTGAAAAACTTAAATTTTAATAGATGCAAAAGCTAAAGAAATTTGCTTGAAATTAAAAAGGGTTTGGTTAAGAGTAGGTGATTGTGAAAATATCATCAGCATTTGGATATTTTGCTATTTATTGTCTTGATTTTCATTGGCGAAGGAATGCAGAGCCGTAACAACATTGCGAAGGAATCAATAGGAAAAGGACTACACAGCCGGAATATATTTGTTTTATTTTGGTTTAAGAAAATGATATTTACCACTTTCACTCTCTTTAGATATTCAATAAGGAGTAAAATCGAATGGGATGGACGAAGCATAATTGATTAAAATAAAACAGTGAAATAAAAATCATTATCTTATTATATAAACATTTTAAGAATAAATAATTAAAAGAAATTTCATCTCATCCTTACAATTAGAAAGGGGACAAGGGAATGAAATATTAAATTATTCAATGCTAATTTCAAACATCTCATCCACCCCTCTTATTTATTATTTTTATCCTTTCTATTTCTATTTAGGTATAAACAGTTAAACACCCAAGAAATGTCGATCGTGATTTTTCATAATTGTTAACTTAGCCAGGGTAGGTTTTTAAAAAAGATAGTTAAATTAAAAAATGAAAGAAAGAAAATTATATATTCTTATATTTTCTTTCTGTTACATTTGTCACTTTTTTCTTCATTTTCTATGCTATATTTTTTATTGAAGTGTATGTGTCCCTAATGGGTGTAAAATTAAAATATGCTTTCTCTTGATATTAGTTTTTGTTCATTGAAGAGAGAACATGGGAATATTACATAGAAGATTCCATCTTAGCTGATAACAAAGCTAGGCGTTGTTGTCAAGTAGTAGTATTAAGTATATTACACTATAACTCACTAACCAATCAAACAAAAACAAAGAAAGGAAGACCACACATAAAACTCAGTACCACACAACACAAGAAAACTGATCAAACCAAGACACAAAATAAGGGATATAATTGTTGTACCTTGTTTTCATTTTCGACAATCTATGTCTCACCAGGTATGCTTTCCTCTCCTCTCCAACACACAATATTTCATGTTTTTTTTTTCCCTTTTATTCTACCTCCCCTTTTCTTTTCTTTTCTTTTTTCTTGGTGTTGTTAATTATATCTCATAATCTTAAATTGCTTAAGCATTTAAGGGCACTCATAATCTTAATATGAAAACTTGTCTTGTTTGATAACTTGGAGTCTCCATGTCCAATTGTTCATAATAGAAAAGGTAATGATGCATGGGAAGGATGTATTATATATGTGTAAAGATGATTAAAGATGTTCCAAGATATATAGAGAGTGTTTGTGCATGGAATCACGTGAAACATTAAAATTTTGCAATCATTTGAGTGTGCTATTCTTGTTGCAAGTAAGTAAAGTCATCATGAAAGGTTACCACATGGCACGAGCTAGCTATAGCAATGGTGTGCAATAAACTGGGAATTGATTTGATGAATTTTGAAGACTTTATTAGATGTAATTTTTTTGTGTTATTTCTCTCTTCGTATGCATCAATTAGATGAAACATTATTAATCTTGGTGAATATTTATGAAAAGAGAGTTAGAAACAATTTTAAATAATAAAAGCAGCTTTGCTAAGAGTAGTATTTAATGGGTTTATGAACAAAAAATAATAATAAACTAAAATAACGATGCGTGTTGATTATATATTAAATTTTAAATTTTAAATTTTTGATAATTTTTTCATGATTAATTAATCATGAGATATTGTGTAAAATTTGTAAGATTAAATATTTGTAATAATTTAATATCAATATGATAATAGGCGACTCAATAATTCTAAAAATAATTATTGAAATAAATTATAATATCATTCTAAAATTTGGGTTTAAATTTTATTAAAAATTTTACCTTAATTGTATACATTATTTTAATCACTTATTAATGAGATATCCAGCAATGTTACTTAGATTAGTTGGCAGTTGTGACGATGAGATAGCAATAACGTAGTTGAATTATACAATCGTAAATTAAGGTTGAGTATGTATTTAAATAAGAGTTAATGATTAGTTAATTACTAATTAGTGATAAGGAGATAAAACATATGATGAGATTGATCAATCATATCGCAAAGCTTAAAGTAAAAGATGATTGAATGATATTTAAAATGTTCCCTTCCCTTGATGCGCACTCCATCGGCATCAAATATCCCAATTCCAATGAAGAACCCTACATACCAACAAGTGAAGTATTATTCATTCTGGCTAAACATATTAGTTTTTCTTCTCTTTTTTAGGTTTTAAATTAATTGCATATTTATTTCCACTATACCAAAAAAAAAACTTCTAGTATATATATATATATATATATATATATGTCATAATTTATATCTTTAAATACGAAGAAACACACTATTTTTTTATCATGTTATAAGAGCATTTTTATGAAATGAAATTTATGTAGTTATATCTTTTATGTTTTATAATTTTATGGAAATTTTTAATTCAGTGTTACTCGTTACATTTTTATCATTAATTATATTTAAAATGAAAAGATAAAAGGTCTTATAACTTTTCTATGTATAACTTTAGATGCTATCTTTAGACATTTTTTAGCTATATTTTTAAAAAAATAGTAGCAAGTAGTGGTATCATTAATATTTTTGTTAGATTAAAAGATAGAGTGATAGACTATATATATAAGTTTTATTAATAATTTAAAATAAAAACATAAAATTTCTTATAAATATTCTAAAAAAGTTATAAATTAAACTTCTATAAATGATTATATAATTTTAAAAAATATTTAATCTTAATCATTTTAATTAAAGTTTTTTCTTCACTCTTGTATGAAAATTCACCTTGTCACTAAGTATATTGCTACAGATAGATATATTATTCCTTTTTAAAAGACTACATACTTTTTATATGAAAAGTAATAATACTTGGGTTGAGTAGGATTATTTTAAGAGTTAAAGTTTTTTTAAAAATATTAATTAAGTTATGTCAATCTCAATCATGTGGGATAAATAAATATAAACGTCAAAACTCACTTAAAAAACATCACCGTTAGGACTTGTCTAATTGTGTTTTCAAAAATTCATACAGAAAATACTAAAAGAGAAAACTTTTATCTTAATGCTTTCTAAATAAATATTTAAAAATAATAAGAAATAAATTGAAAGCAAAGTAATAATTTTATAATTAAAAATTAAAAATAAGAAATAAAAACAAGTAAACGGTCAAAAGTTTCTAATTTCTGAAATATTAGTGGATAAAAACCAGAACTCTGAAAATAAATCGAAGAATGGAAGAATTTGAATGGAAGAACGGTCAAGAGTCTAATTCCTATCCTACCCTCGTACCCAATATTTACTAAAAAAATATTTTTTTATTCTTGATAAAAAAAAATTATATTTAAACAGATTTTAAATAAAATAATCTTAAAATCACAATTTAGTGTGACAATCTATTTTAATTAAATTCCGTGAATTATTATGTAAAGTGAGAAAGAAACAGAAACCGCGTGGCATTTGTTTTTGTCTTGTTCCATTTTCCATTTGATAGGAAGATTAATAATTAATTTAATATAGCAGTCCCCTAAAAAGGATTAATTTCATTGGAGGGTATCACTGTGTGTGAAGAGAGAGAAAGTAAGAGAGAGAAAGAGAGAGAGAGAGAGAGAACGAAGAGCACAGCACTACGCAGCTCCGAAATAGAAGGGGGCGAAAATTTGTATGCGTTGGATTTCGTAGATCTGAGTACGTTTTTCTCTTCTCCCTTTTATCCTTTCAATTTCAGTTTTCAAATTTCAATCACTTTTGTCTCTCGAGCTTCTGCTTCTGCTTCTGTCTTTTTTTTTTTTTTTTTTTTTTTTTTTTTTTTTTTTTTTTTGGCGACCCTTTTGGCTTCTTCGCTTTGGGCTTCATTTTAATCATGCTACTGTCTCTGCCTTGGCCTCAAGGTTGTGTTTTTAATCTCTCACTTTGAATTTTCTATTCCCCCCTGTTTTAAAGTTTTGTGCTTGGTGCTGGGAAATCGGACATTTCTATGAGTTGGTCTGAAAGGTGTGAAAATTTCAGCTTTTTGGTCATCGTAGAGTTGCTGGGTTCTTCTTCATGTAGGTCCAGAATCCCAATTACTATTATTTATTTATTTATTATTATTATTATTTGGTTGGGGTATTACAATTGTCTCAGCCTTGGTGAGTCCTATGTATGTTTTCTTCCATGTGTGAAGTGTGGAAAGATCAATTTTGAGGGTGTCGCTTGATCTTCTGAGGTATTAGCATGCTGAAAAAATAGTCAACTTTTAACACTGATTCCCAATTTGCTAGTGTTATTAGGTTTGCATCAGATTAATGAATTCTTCTGCTAGCCGCAATAGTGCTATTAAATTTTTAGTTGTCCATAAATTAGAATGATATCTTTGTCAATTACTAAGTATAAGCGAAAATCAACCTTATTTAATTTTTATCTTATTCTACAACATTTTTGGGAGGGTAAATGGGTGGGGGGTTTAGCCCTTTAGAAAGAATGGTTGCCTCAAACTGTGCTAGCTTCTCCTTTCATGTGTTATATGTTTCTAGCAATATCAGTGAATATTCTGCAAAACTTCAGGTGATAATATAGTTGTTGTAGAAGTTGGATGATATTTGAAGAGTCCTCCTTTATATAAGTTTACTTAGGCTATAAATCACTTGTAAGTTCTGTAGGCTTTGTGTTTGTATGGAGGGCTTTCGTCAAATAAAAAACACAAGAAAATTTTCCCTAATTATAAGATGACTTAAGCTAAAAATCACTCGTTTTATGTTTTATGAACATGGAAACAGTGCGCCTTTTCCATCAGCCTTGAGTTCCTCTGCGGAACACACCTGAAGAAAGAAATGAATGAAGAAAGGAAGAGGCTTCAGATAAAGAAGACCTTTTTGCTAGAAAATGGCTATTAACTTTTGACCAAACATTTCATTGAATTTCTGGAAGTATCTTTTAGGGTCTGTGTTAAGAGTACTAAAAGATCCATTGGGTAATTATGCTCATGGCCATCTAAAAAGTTGGTCGAGAGAAACATATATAATGTAAATTCATGATTGAACCAAATATGAGTTGAACTGATTCACATTAGGAATTGGGGTCAGTAATGCTTGAAAAAATGTATACACTAGGCTGTTTTTGAACTTGGAAAATTCAAGGTTGATTTAAGGTTTTCTTATCTCGTGGAACCTGTAGATTTATGTGTCTCTGTCTGTCCGCATGTCTGATTCTTCTCTCATTTCATTACAGCCTCTTCCAGTTCAAGATGTTAGAAATTTAGAATTGATTTCCATGTTATATTAAATTCACTTTTTTATTTTGTTTGCTTTCAGATAAATGACAAATGTATCATTCAAAGAATGTTGTTCCTAGTGCAAGTTTAATTGGAGGTAATTCATTAGTTCATGGTCAGCACATAGATTGTGGTGGAAGCACAATGGATCCTGGCAGTGGAGGAAACAGTCTTAGCAACAACTCTAATCTCACCTCAAAACAACGTTTACGGTGGACGCATGAATTACATGAGCGCTTTGTTGATGCTGTGGCTCAACTTGGTGGGCCAGATCGTGAGTATTTCCCCCTCTATTTTTTGTTACTGGAATCTGGATGGAACTCGTTTTTTCTTTTTCGCACACTTTAACTTAAAACATGACTTTATTTAGGAAAGCAAGAATTCAAGGTTGTGTAGCAGATAATAAAATAAATGCATCTACTTCTCATCAATTTTACATTTGCTACAGAAGATCTGTTCGCTGTTACTTTGAATTTTTCCAGTTTTTGTTTTTAATCTCTCTCTCTCTTTCTCTCTCTCTCATCAATAATTATTTTCATACAAGATGGTATCAGATGGGCATGCTGATATGCTACCAGATAATTCAATGGGAGATCATATGAGAATTTTCTTTGTATGAATTCATGAGATATTGTAAAAAATAATGTATAAAGAAATTGGTTGCATGAGTTGATCAAATATCTTATACTTTTGTTGGCTAGATATTCTATAATTGTTGGCTGAGGGATATTTCAAGCTTCTATGCATGATTTTAACATTCCTTATAAAGATGTTTTAAATCTCTAACTATCCTTTTTGCTAGGTGCCACACCCAAAGGTGTCCTCAGAGTTATGGGCGTACAAGGCTTGACCATTTACCATGTCAAAAGCCATTTACAGGTAACGTGTACTTATACATGATGTCTATTATTCTCATTCATAAATCCTTTTTCATTCTACTTTTTGTTGCTTACAGAAATACCGACTAGCAAAATATTTACCCGACTCCTCATCTGATGGTATGTCTATTGATTTTTGTTATTCAAATTGCTCGTGTAAATGATATTTAGGACTTATTTATTTGTTTTTAGCCCGTTTAACACTCACTTTACTCTGATTTCTCATTTAGATTAATTTGGTAATGACTTTTAAATTGTTTATAGAAGGGAAAAAGACCGACAAGAAAGAAACAGGGGATATGCTTTCCAATCTTGATGCTTCAGGGTGAGTATTGCTGTCTCTTTATTTTTATTTCATTTGGGTTTTCACACTAAAATAAGTTGTTGGAGGCTTATAATCAAAATACGTTTATCTGGGTTACTAAAGCACATTTAGACGAGCTTTAAAACATCTCCTATCATTTACATCTTGGAATGAAATTTGCAAGTGTTAACAAAAATAAGAATTTTTTTTTATCTCTTTTATGTTTCAATGCCTCATAACTGTTACTGGAAGGGAAAATTTAACTTTTTTTTTGTCAAAAGAGCTTGATTGTTTGAATTCTGGTGGTATAAATGATTGAAGTTACTTGTGGGCTTATCTGTCTGCAGTGGGATGCAGATTACTGAAGCACTAAAGCTTCAAATGGAGGTTCAGAAGCGACTACATGAACAATTGGAGGTATATTTTCCTTGTTGAACTGATGTGATCTGATCCGATGACTTTATCTTATTAGCTGATTGTAATTTATGATTTCTATTTACGTTTAATCATGTGAGAGGAAGTGATGATATTAATTTCTCTCTTGATTTATTCCAGTTACAAAAATTGGTTACACTATATAATCATTAAGTTCTAAATTGTAATTTATATTTTGTGACACAGGTGCAAAGACAGCTACAATTGCGGATAGAAGCGCAGGGTAAATACCTGAAAAAGATAATTGAAGAGCAACAGCGGCTCAGTGGTGTTCTCTCAGATGCACCTGGCTCTGGGGTTACAGCCTTTGTTCCAGGGGATGCATGCCAAGAACCTGATGATAAGACCGACCCATCAACCCCCGACCCTGAAAAGGCTGCCAAAGACCGTGCCCCGGCCAAGAGTCTTTCGATCGAATCTTTTTCATCACACCATGAACCAATGACCCCAGATTCTGGTTGCCATGTTGGTTCCCCTGTTGACAGCCCTAAAGGGGAGAGATCGGCCAAGAAGCTACGAGTTGGCATCGAGGGAGCGTATTCTAAACCAGATATGGTGCTTCCACATCAGATACTGGAGTCAAGCTTGTCATCATATCCGCAACCTAACACTGTATTCCTTGGCCAAGAGCAATTTGATCCTTCTTTGGGTATATCTACCAGAAGTGGTGAGGAAATGGAGAAGGTCGGTGGCAGTAATCTGTGATTTGCTGTAATATGTAGGTTGTGTTCTAGGACTCATTCTATCTTCTTTCTAAGCTTAGTTTCTGTGTTATATGTATTCCTTAATAGATGAAGGAACCTGGTCTTCATAGATTCCACAAGATTCTTACTTTTCAGTTCAAATGTTCAATACTTGACTAAACATCCAGCCTTTAATTGTTTTTAGAGAACTAAGTTGAATTGGGTTAATAGAAAGAATCTTGTCTTCTGCTCCATAAACCTTCGCATCATGGTGACTATAAGAAGCTTATGGGGTTACACGTAATCTCTTGACTAGCCAAAGGAATTGTGCAGATGATAAGAGTGCTGTATGGCGTTGGAGTATATTCTGACAGATGTCAATGTTATGTCATACAGAAAATTGACCATGGTTCTGGTTGATTGTGCCAATGATGAAACTTGAAGATATGTTTTAAGTATGCAGCATGGAAATTCTTACTGATGATGCATTATTTCAAGTGAAAATATTATTAACAAGACAATGATCTTATAATGAGTAAGCACGACATTACATTAGTTAGGTGAGAAAATTGACACCACGTTCGGACCGACTGCTTAGTTGGTCAAACCAAATGCTTGTTCTGTGGTAACAATGTAATATTCTTAGGCCTACTTCATTTTTAGCTCTGTTTGAGTCATCTGGTTTAATTTGATAACTTGCCCTCTTGTTTTATTGTGTATTTGCAATGACAATCAAGTAGTTAAGTCATTTTAATATTTTATCAGTTAATCAATTATCAGTTTTGCTTAATTTTTTTATTAGTTTTCAATTTTTATCTCTCGAGTGTCCTGTTTTCTATAACTTTTCAATTTTTAACTACCATTTTAGTTAATTGTTCAACAAAGTCACAAAGAAGAGTTCTAGCAATATGATTTTTGATACTCTTTCTAACATTATTATTGATTGTTAAAACTCATTTGAAAACTACAATTCTTAGAGATTTTGTAATTCTTGATAAATTTTAACTAATAATAGAGTTATCATAATAGTGTATTTATTTTGTAACATTTTTGTATTAGGTAATAGAAAAGACTGTATTAGAAAATGTAAAATTAATCAATAATTTTGTTATGAAAATGTATTATGAGATTTCCGAAGTTATTTTAAAATTGATCAATTTTACATTTAAAATTTAAAGATGTTTAAACGAGATGAACATAATAAAGTAACATGAATAGTCATAAGTGTTTGCATTAGGCCAATAAAATTAAGCCAAAAAAATATGGCACTTTAGACTCAAATAAACCAAGCCTGATTTACCCCCATCCTATAATGAATTAAGACAGTTTATAAGCCCAAAATTATTATAATAAAATTTCATAATTTTCAAAAAATTTCTTTTACTGTTTATGTAAATATTATTATAAAATAATCATTCTTTCATTTTAAGTAATACTTAATTTTAAACCTTTTAATGTAAATTAATATAGTTTTTTAATGCAAATTAAATAAATAAATATTTTAAATTAACATTTTAATATATATATATATATATATAT